ATCACAAGAGATATACAGTAATATATTTCATATTATCTATGTCAACAAATATGCACAGTGTCAAGTCTACGCTTTCATTTCACTGGTAAGAGTTACCATGAGGTTTCTACCATTTGAGGCATCTGTTGACTTCCATTTTTCTCCATGCAATTAGAACCTCTAAGCAGACTAGTTGAAGCTGTTATAGTGAACACATATCTGCATAACTCTGCATGGATTTTATTAAACAGTACACTTTAAATCATGTATGTGCCTGGCCATGCCACAGAACAGTTATACTCTAGAATTACACTCAGTAGAGTCCATACCTCCATCACTTCTCTAAACGTGCCTTTTTAAATATAGATCCATGAAAAGGTCAAAAATTGCTTTGTCTCACAATGTTAAAGAAAACTAAATTCTGGGTCCACCCCCTGATCCTGTTCCATATGAAAATGTGATGTGTTCATTCTACAAACTAACGAACAAACACAGATTAAAACACAACCTTCTTGGCAGAGCTTAATATCATCAGTAAATGGTCATCTATGCTGAAAACTATTTCAAATTCACAGTTTTCACAGACGAATCTGACAAAAATTGAATTTGCTTGAATGTAAACCAATAGTTGTGCTACTGAGCACTGGTTTGTTGCAAACATGCTCACGCTCAGGGCACATTTCCTGCAGCCAGTTTCATGCTATTCCACTGTTGGTGGTGATAACACAAAGAAAGCAGAGTCCCTGAAGGCTGTTTGTTAAAAGCAGAAAGATGAATTCAAAGATGTTAAATTGTCAGATTGGTCAGAGGAGCCAAAATCCTCTCGCACACTATGATGATCCTTTAAAATCCAGAGTCTTGCCAGCTCATACCTCTGTCACTCAACCCCCCCCCATCCATCTGACCCTGCAAACATGACACTCACCTCCCCCCGCTGACAGCCTCAAAGCAAATACTGCTATTAATACTGCAGCATTTGGGCCAGATACCAGAGTCGTGCCAATTTGTAGGTATGAGGGCCGCCCTGAGTTTGTCTCATAAATGTAAAGAGCCTCTAACAAGGATGTCTCTCTCTCACAAACACACACACACACACACTGTCAATCTTTCCTCTGCTGGGTTTCCCGCCTAAAACCACATTATAGCTCACGCAACCAGATGGGCTGGTTCTTCAGAACACATGGAGCATCCACGTGAAGTCACATGATCTCTGATGAGGCCGTGCCACACAGAAGCTACATGGTAATAGGTGTATTTATAAAACATATTCGCATCTAACCCCAAATCCGGTGCTACGTCCTGGACCTGAGAGCGAGGGTGTATTTTAGGAAGTGGTAAATATACGGCCTGCCTTATCGTTTTCCCAGTAAGAGAAGCAGATATGAGACGTAGCGCAGCTGCTGCCCTGATGGTGACTCAGACAAAGTTGAAGCGAACAGAGACATCAGGCAGCATCTCTGGACCTGTTGTCTGCTTCCATGAAGAAAAACATTGACGTCATCAGCCCTCTGATCAGCTATCCCTCAGCCACAGACATGTAGATCTCTTTCTCTGAGGACCACTGAATGTGTCCTGAAGTCGCCTTAAACCAGAAGCTCCCTGAATGATTTCAAGAAAGATCTGCTTCTCAAGCTTGTAGAAACAACTTCTTGAGGTTAAGCGTTTGTCCTGATCGATACCTCAGCTTCGACCCTAAATAACTTCATAACGTCTCTGGGACACATGACCATAAACTAAACCCTGATCTGAACCACAGATGGCAGTGTCACAGGAAATAAGTACTGAGAGGGGAAACAGACCAGATCAGTCAGTGGCAAAATAGAAACCTACCAGCTCCTCCCCAGCTTCACACATTTGAACAGTTTTGATCATATCACTTGTTTTCATTTTTCAAGAGAGTTTGAATGAGTTATTAGTCTTGAAGTGTGTTCCCAGTATCAAGTGGGCAACAATAAACCAGCCACTGTCTCTGTATACTGAAGCACATTAGATTCATAAAACACCAGGATAAGTGTAAATTCTTAGATTTAATTGAAATATTTTTTTTATATATAGTTTTTGCATCGAATGTTCCTACAAATTGTGAATTTTCCTTGCACTGCAAGTGATGCTGCCCCTAGAGTTCACTTCATGAACTCACTGAATGCCGTCTAATATTGTGTTGCTAATGTCAGCCAGCAGCTTTAAGCACATTAGCACAGCTTAGGTGTAAATTTGACAGCTGAATTGTGAACTTTTGCACTGTATATTCATTCAACAGCCAATTTACCAACTGTACAAACAGCTGTAAGCTACGTAGCGACGGATGCACAGACTCTGACAGTGAACCTGAGCGAATGTTCATGTTCAGCTCAGCCTCCGACTGAGCTCAGAAGTCAGTCGTATCAGTTTGTTTGTTGGTTGGTCTGTTTGTAAGCAAGATCACGCAAAAACTACTGGACAGAACCAAATCAGGGGACAGATTCAGGGTGTTTTTTGATATTTTGACTGATTTCCTGGGGAATAATTCATGAATTTCTTGATGAAAAACATCTGGCACATTTAGGGAACTGATATCTAGAGGTGGGTGCAAACTGGTGCTGCTTGATTGAATTTAAGGAGACTGTTGGGCCTTGGTGGAGGTTTGCGCTCTACTGAGAGTCACTCCAGTTTCTGCCCTTTTTCACCTTATCTCTAGATATTTATTTAAACATTTAAATCATAAATATCTGATTAAATTCTTTGCTCAAAATGCATCATTTTGAAGTCAAGCTGATGCATCTTCAATTTGCACCATTCACATCCTGGGCCACTTTGCATAATCTGTGTCTGTTGTGTAAGCAATTGCACGGCCTTTAAAATTTCCCTCATGTTTTGTCTGAACAATATGTCTAATATCCTCTCACGTGTCCTCTCCTCCCTGCACACAGGTTGTGGGGAGCTGGTTTCAGTTGGTGAGCCTGTCACTCATAGGAAAGCCGACAACATAGCGGGTAAATATGGTGTTTGGATGCAGGACCCTGAGGCCGTCTCCCCCTATGGACCCAACACGGTCTGGCGCATCGACACCATTGGCACTGAGGTCAGGCAGCTGTTCGGGTATGAAGACATGGAACAACTCTCTAAAGGCTTTCCATCTAAGGTGGGTATCACATGGCTCATAGTCTTTCATGGGAATAAGCCAAAATTCTTAGATCATGCCTGGTTATTGTCTGTGACAGGTGCTGCTGTTGCCCGAGCTTGTGGAGAGCACTGGTGCCACAATGTACCGAGGCTCTCTCTACTATCAGAGACGTCGTAGCCGCACCCTCATCCGATACGACCTCTCCTCTGAGAGCACTGCAGCCCGCCGTGACCTCCCCCATGCCGGCTTCCATGGCCAGTACCCCTACTCTTGGGGGGGCTACACGGACATCGACTTGTCTGTGGACGAGCAGGGGCTGTGGGCCGTCTACTCCACCAGCAAAGCAAAAGGGGCCATTGTGATCTCGCAGCTGGACCCGAACACCCTGGAGGTGAAGAAGAGCTGGGAGACCAACATCAGGAAGACCTCTGTGGCCAACTCCTTCATCATCTGCGGGAAGTTGTACACCGTGTCCAGTTATGCCGCACCCAACACCATCATCAACCACATGTACGACACCGCCACCAGCCAGGGGAAGACCATAGCCATCCCCTTCAGGAACAAGTACCACTACAACTCCATGGTCGACTACAACCTAGTTCAGAGGAAGCTGTTTGCCTGGGACAATTTCCACATAGTGTCCTATGACCTCAGGCTGGGTCGCAATCAGGTCAACTGAGGCCGACACCAGTGACTGTTGAGGAGACATGTGCTCACCTGTTCCTGCTTCATAGACTCAAAGCGTTAGAGACGAACGTGTGTGGTAGCAGCAGTTAGAAAGACAACACCATCAGTATCCAACGTGTAGAAGAGCTAAACTACCAGAATCCACAAAGAAATGAAGACGTTTGAGGAACAGCGCCCCCTGCAGGTCTGCTTTCTTTTCTTCTCAGCGGGAGGACTCTTGCTGTGGCACAGTCCACATATATATTAGTAGAGGAATTATTTTTGTACCGCCTTTAAGTCAGATGTATTATTATTTTTCTGTTATATGTTAAGCTATACAGGACACATTTTATTTGAGGTCTGGAAGATGAAGAATGGTTTAACGTCAGTAGCTAAGCGGGATAATTAAAGCATACAATTTACAACCCAAACACAGTACTGTTTCACCTGTTATATTAAAGTGCTCGCTCACTCAGTATGGATTATTGCATGTACTTGTACATTATTGATGTTCAAAATCATGATGAAATAAACTAAATTACAAGTTAATCTGGTTATTGTGGCATCATACACCTTATTGCCTATGAAACCACTTCATTTGCAAGATACAACTTTTTGTTATTAGGCAACAAATCTGGTTGCTGATCAGATTCAAACATTTTTTAAAGAAAAATGAGGAACTAATAGTTTCTCATTCTTCTCAAGCTAAATAAGTCATTTTAATGGATTGTTTTTAATATCAGTAATTCGATAAGATGGAAACAGGGCTATTTTTATTTGCTGTTAAGTGCTTAATATCACACATTTCTAATAAGTTAGTAAATCATTTGTACTTACTATAGAAATCATGAATAAATCTGCAGGTGTACTTCTTACTAAGTAATACTTGAATCAATAACACGCCTTGCAAAGATTTTCCACAGGGTTGGAAATCTAAGTGTTACAGGAGTCTTAATGATGAAGAGCTACAAAGACAGTTGATTTCATGAGGATAAACTAATATATTATTTACAGATTCGATTCTTTGTTTTTAATTAAATATACTTACACGCTATACTGTATATCCCTTTGCAAAGTTACCTCATCTGAAAGTGGTGCCTTGGTCATTCAATCTGAGAGGTTTCTGTGTTATAGTGCCATCTAGTGTTCAGATGTAATGCTGACTCTAGCTCCAATATAGAGCAACAAAAAGGCTTCAACTTAATTATGGAAAAGGCTTCAAGTAAAAACCAGGCCTAACTGGAAACACATCAACAGTATATTATTTTATTAGTTTCTGTAACCAAACCAAGAGAATGTAAATAAGACCGTACATCTTTTAATACAGCGATGAAACCCCTGTACAAGTACAACAAAAAAAACAAAAAAGAATTAAAAAAAAACCAAACAAAAAAAACAACAAAAATCATTACCCAACCTCCCTCATCCCTCCTCCAATGCAAGGACTCTTCCCCCAGCTGGGGTAGAGGTGTGGAGGACAGTCTCCCCACCTCAGGGTAGGGAGGCTGTACATTTCTGAAGGACCCTTGTCACCACAACTCCGAGATGAGAGCATTGTCGGTGGGACAGCCAGCCGAGGTGAGGCAGAGACAGAAAACAGCACTGATTGCTCTCATCAGTAAAGACAACATAAACAAAAAGTGTCCTTCTGCCCATCGTTTTCTTCGTTCTCTGTCCTGTTCTTGTCCCCCCCCGTTAAATGTGGGGGGTTGACACATGCACACACACTCACACTGAAAAGTTGTCTATTGTTTTAACAATCAACTCTTCGCCGCTTCTATAACCTCTAAATAGCCCTATCCTGCTATATTCTAGCTAGGGGCACTGAAATCAGTCAATAGCAGCAGATCTGGGTGCTTTACGGTGAAGTGTGTGTGTTTGTGTGTGTGTGACAGCAAGGATGGGTGTTAAAGCAGTGAAAGGGTGTGTGACAGTAGCCCCTAAACTGGAACAGCTGCATGTAGTGATCATACATCATCCATGTAATCCTGTAAGTCCACTCAAAACCCTGCTGCCACGGCAACAGCAATCCAAAAGGCTGTGACATCTCTGCGCTGCTTTAACCTTTGGCTAAATATACAGGAGAGTCCAGATACGAGCTCCCTCCTGTTTCTACTAGAACCTGACACACACTCCAACACGTCAGTGATTCTCAGGCAAGGAGATGAGAGCAGAAGGCAGGAGAGCAAAGGCTCACAGGCAGACTAATCAATAAATCAATCTTTTAAGTCAATCAAATGCTGCAATTTTCACATTACCATTCTGATAAAACAAAAAACTTAACATAATAACCACATAATTTCTTATTTCACGTCTCTGTGCGGTGACTGTGGGTGAAACCGTTAAGGGAGTGTGTGCATGAGCACGAATCTCTGGATTGGTTACGATGGGTGATTGGGCAACAAAAAGTGTGCTTCACTACATACACTGAAGAAAGTTTGGACTACAAAAACATCTCTGATTCATTCTTTCGTTAACGAAACAGGTCTCTCCTATAATATGCACGATCCTATTTGGGAAAATAAAATAGGTACAGAAATCGAGAGCTATAAAAATGGCAAACTCAGCAGCAAATCTCATTTCAAATTTTCTCTCTCCAACTCTCCTCTTATCTACTGTCACAGTAGATTTCTGTTGAACGACTTGTGCAGCCATTTCGTCGGCATCTAAATATGATGGAAGAATCCAACTCAAATGCCCCAACCTACAGTGGGACAAGACAGGGGGAGAAAGAAGAGGAAGAGGATTATATATGCAGGACAGTGCCTACTCTCAGTAACCACTACCGTTTAGATCTCTACCCAACTCATCCTCCTCCCCCAAAATGTCCCCCAGGGCAGATATGAGGCGGTGACTGAGTGAATGGGGCTAGATTCTCTCTCCTCCTCTCTTCCATCCATTGTATTGTCATCTGAAGATGGTCGGGAGCTCGTTACTTGCCCTCTTCTGGTTTGATGGCCTGCGGTTTTATGGGGCCAGTCCGTATGGGCTTGGCCGTAGAGACAGGGGGTTTGTCAGAATCTGGGCGTTCGACTCCTGCCTGGTGGTTTTGGGCAGAGGTGTCGATGGAGGGTTTTCCTCCTTGATCAAGTCGAGAAGCTTTGCTGACTTGTGGGGCCTTAAGCTGTTGCTGTTGCTGCTCTGAGAAAAACTTATGAGTGGACTGGAGCACCTCAGCCCGCTGCTTTGCCTGGAAGGGGATAGAAGGAAAATACAAAGTTGGTCAATCCAGCCATCTCAGATTGGACAAATGAACAAATCAGAAAGGAATAAATAAATAAAAAGAAAATTGAAAAAGACCTTTAGGTCCTGTTCAGCCTTCAGAGCCGCCTGTGTGCCTCTGGGTACAATCGAGGGACCAGAGGGTCCTCGGGAAAGATGCTGGCTGTGCTGTGGATACTGGGGTCGGGGATGAGGCATTAGCCCACCACCCACATTCGCCGACATTGGAGGGCCCATGGGAGAACGCTGAACACCTCCAGCAAATGAGTTGGTATGAGGAGGTCGAACCAGAGGAGAAACTATGTTGGGCTGAGAGAGAATCTGAAAGGAAAAATAAATGCATCATTTAACATTCATTTTCTACAAAGGTGCATTTTACAAACAATCAAAATGCAAGCTATGTAAATAATAATATGCCTGTGGGTTGAACTGTCCAGGGAAGTGTTGCGTCATTCTCATCCCAGCAGAGTTGGGCTGAAACTGCTTCTGGTACAACATGCTGTTCATCTTACTGGACTGGCTACTAGGAGAGGTGGAGCTGGCCCTGCAGGCAAATGAGAAAGAAATATATAATCTTTTAAACAAGATAAATTACAATAAAACATGTGCTAGTGTGTTGACTTGGATTGTATCAACTCACAATGTGCATAATTTCCTTGCGAATAACATTTGCCAGTTGTTTTGATACTTCTGTCCGTTTTTTGACATTTTAAGAAGTCCTGTTTGGTGTGTATTGTCAGTAAGTGTGAGGATGTGGTTACGGGTTGTACCTGTAATGACTGGAGGTCGGTGTTGTGCTCCTGGCACCGACAGGAGGAGTTCCAGGCTTCACATCCATCCCACTGCCAAAGAGTTTCAGATCCATTTCCATCTGCAGCTTATCAACACAAAAACATACACTTTTAAAAATCACAACCAACCGGTCTATTCACACAAGTCACAAATGCACACACTACGACAGTACCTTGCTGGTGGGTGGCGGCATCATGTTGTGGTTGGGGCCCATGATGCTGCGGTACGGCTGGGAGACTGGCGGCTGTCGGTTGATGTTAGGGGGCTGGGCCTGTGGCGGCGTGGGGGGCAGTGCCAGGAGGGGCTGTCCTCCACCCGAGCCAAAGTTTGACAGAGACAACTGTGAACGAGGCAGAGGAACTGTCACCTTGAGGGGAACCGAAGATTTATCTAACTAACAGAAAATTACGCTGTTCCACAATATTGAAAATTCAACAAATGTGGAAGTTTGATAACTGGTTAAATAAAGTAAGCTTTTCAAAAGGATTACAAACATTTAAATTCCATTATGTTTGCATGTATGTTACCTGTTGCATTGCTGAACTGGGTGACTGAGTGTTGCTGTAGTAGCTACTCTGGCCATGTTGTTGCACCTGCCCTGAATACATGTTTGAATGCTGATTCATCCCCTGTCGAGCCTGAAACAAAGACATGTCAGATGGAAGACGCACAGTGGGCTCAGTATTTTACAGTAGAGTGATATGTTTCCTGTGAGCGCTCTGGTTACCTGCAGCAGGTGTGTGTCAATGAGCTGGGAGCCTCCCATGCCAGAGGGCTGGTTGAGCTGCGGCTCAAACAGAATAGGAATGTGCTGGGTGGATGACTGCTGCTGATAGGCTAGGTTGGACTGAGGCTTGCCCAGCTCAGGTGCTTGCACACTGGCGTAGCTGTGCAGGGATGGTCCTGACAGCATCATGGAGGGCTGTGACAGGCTGTTCTGCATGAATGCCTGCTGAGACCTGAGGGAAGACACATCAGCAGGATCAGATGACAGGAACAATGGTGCCTCAGAACAGCGAGACTGGCCTCTCTGAGTTCTCTTCTCACAACAGAAACGCACAATGTCCTGCGGTGTGTCTTCTGTTACCTATAAGGCTGCAGCGAGGAGCTGAACAGATCTTGTGGCTGGGAGACTGGAGGTCCAGTGCCGAGTCCTAGCTGGGCCTGGTGTGAGTGTTGGTGTGTGTGTTGGTGCTGAGGCTGACCTTGCAGTGGAGCATAGATGGGGATGGGAATCTGCTGCACTGCTGTTGGCTGAGGTGGACAAACAGGTTAGTTCTGTCTTCATGGTGCAAGCATTTCTGCAGAGATTCTCAAAAAAGTAAAATGCTACCTGTGAGAGTCCAGGCTGGAAGCCCTGCTGTTGTGCCAGGGAGGGAGGAGCCAAGCGGGGGTGGGGGGTGCTGAAGAGGTGACTAGTGTCCATGTAGAAAGCTGGAATCTGAGCTGCAGAACCTACAAGAAATGACGTGTTAGTTATTACCAATAGACATGCACTGTTCTTTAAATATGAAACATAAATTATGAACTATCAGGGCTATAACAATTTCCAATTTATGACATTGATTAAAATGCAGAAAACAGTGCCATGTTTCTCTCACCTGCTGCAGACTGGGAGACGTACACCTGTGGGGTCTGCTGCTGCAGGAGGGGGGGCACGCAGCCCAGCTGAGAGAAGCTGCTGCTACTGCTGCTACTGCTAGAGGACAAACTTCCACCCTGCAACTGTTGGGGCTTCACCTTGCAGATGTTTGGGGGGTCAGAGGCTGTGGTGGTCTTGGTGCTGAGGGATGATGTTGTATAGGTGCCAGATCCTGTGGGGTGGAGGTAAGCATGGTGCAGACAAGGAGTCATGAAGGGTGCATGTATACTACTGATGCACAACAGGAAATGCCAAAAGAAAAAGAAATCACTCACTTTAGTGTTGAAAAACAGCAGTGTGTCTATCAACAGACAATATGGAGGGAGATATATGCTACATGTAAGTAAAAATGTTGTTACCTGACAGTGAAGTGCTGGGAGTAACAGAAGCCACAGGGATCTGTGGCATGGAGGCCGAGGAGAAGGAAGAGTATGAGGATGCACAGGACGTGATGGGGGATGAAGAGGAAGTGGCCGGAGAATTCTTCTCCAGACTCGGGGAGTTTTCCCAGGCTTTACGAGCAGATTCCATCTGAACAGGAGACAGAGAGACGTCAGCATTTAGGATCCATAAAATGTGAGAGAAAGGAGTTTTTCTTAGGGAAATGAATGCTTCTTGGAATATACTGTACTATCCGTGTACCTTTAGTGTTAGGTCAACAGTAGCAGGAGAGACAGTACTGAGGCTGGAGTTCTGCTGCAGGGTCTCTCGCCTAGGAAGTGGCAACGAATGGGGAAGTGCCACCTGAGACAAAAAAAGAAAACCCACAAAATGTTTCAATGTTGGGATTAAAAACATTTAATATTTATACACAACTGAGATGACTGATTTATTCAAATAAAAATGAAAGATGAACAAGGTTTTTTCACTAGTGTAAAGATGTCTACTCACATTTGCCACCAAACTTTCTTCTATTTTGTTGACTCCTGTGGGAACACTGTCAGCCAGTGAGGAGGAGGGGGCGGTGTAGTCAGTGACAGACTCCTGAGATGGAAACAAACATTTATAATCATAAACTTACTTATGTTTTACTGCAAGTAAAGATAGTTGAGTGACAGTAATTGTGACAGTGACATACCTTTGAGTTACTGATGTAGTCTGCTGAGGGGACTGTGATCATGCCCTCAATGTCTCCTCCCAGCTCTGGTACAGCGGTGTCACTGGTGGGAGGACTGGAGTCTGTGGCTCTGCTGACGCCTCCTCCAGGAACTCCTCCCTCCATGCCCTCGCCTTCTCCTCCACGTGCATCTTTGGCCTTGCGGTTCTTAAGAGAACGCTCTTTGCCAATGGGACCTGGCTTGTATTCCTTGGTTTCCACTGGTTCCATTTCAGGAAGCTGGGGAGGAAATGAGATTAGATGTTTTGGAGTTTGTAGGGGAGTTTCACAAAACTAATTTGAACCTGGATTGTGTAAGCATGAGCAGAAAAGAGTGTTACCTTCTGTGTTTTGATTGGGCCAGCTCGAGGTTGTTTCTGTCTCTGTTCTTTGGGAGCAGGTAGTTTGTTTTCCAAGCCCGTCTCCATCAATGCTGGAACGCCATCACTGTCTGTGCTGCCTGCAGATGATGGTGCTCCAAACTGAATGCTGTCGATTGCCAACTCTACACTGCCATCAGCTCCTGGTTTCACACCCTAAAAATGAAAATGACAAAATATTTTATTTTCATGATTTATCATAGAGCAGGTGGATGTTGCAGTCACAAAAAACAGGGATCACATGCGTACCTCAGAGGAGACAGTGCCAGTAAAGGAGGTGAGAGGTTTGTTCCAGGCACTCACAGAAGGCGGCTGAGGAGGGCTGATTGGACCAACTGGAATACACAGATTAGATTTTTAGAAAACAGGCTGACAGATTCACTCCTGCATACAACGATTCATGATTAAAACATTTTTTTGATAAATCCATTCAAGTCATCAACATATACTTATTCACTCACGCTTCTTCACATCAGGAAGGACAGTGGAGCCAGCAACCTTGTTCTCCCACAGTTCTGTACCTAGAGTGCTGTGCGTCTGGGTGGGTGCGGGGGGAAGGGTTTTTGGGGTGAAATCCACAGCAGCAGGGGGGATAGTGGGCAGAGGAACCACCGTTCCTTCCAGAGTCTGAGGGGATGCAGCAGGTTGGGTAGGGGGCAGGTGAGGATGCTGGGGGGCAGAAATGGGTGGCTGCTGTTGAGCCTGGGGAGTAGAGGCTGCAACAGGCTGAGGCTGTGAGGACTGTTGTTGTTGTTGTTGTTGTTGTTGTTGCTGCTGCTGATGTTGTTGCTGCTGCTGCTGTTGTTGTTGTTGTTGCTGCTGTTGTTGTTGCTGCTGCTGCTGTTGTTGCGATGACTGTTTTTTAGCAAATCTTGGAGGCAGCTTTCCTCCTCCACCTCTGCTCTTCTCACCAGAGCCCTTTTTACCCCAGTTCTGTAAGAGTTGTAACTATATTAATACTATACTAAGACATACAGATCCTTCTCAATAAAGTAATACACTTCTGTCATATTGTATGTTCCTACCTGAGTTGTCTGCTCTTCCTTTTTCCGTTTCTCCTCATCCTGAAGGCGTTTTTGTTGCTTGCGGGAGACCACCTCTGTGAAGCCATCATCATTGGTGCTGGACTGTGGGTCCTCTGTGGTTGTGACCTCTGGGTGGTCATCAATGATCACAACACCTACAATGACCAGACAAGAAGAACATGTGTTTTTTAGACAACATGCATCTCGACCAAAGTGTAGATTCCAGGCTTAACAGTATCAGAGAATATATGTATTTACTTACTGGCATAATTGTTGAGATCAAACTGAGAAAGAGCATTCTCCTTGGGCTTCTTGGAGACCTGTTTGGTCTCATCTTTGCGACGGGCAGACTGCTCTTTTGTAGGTCTTTGGGCTGCTCCTCCAGCTGTTGGTGCTGCTGACTCTGAGTTCTGGTGGGCTAGAGGGCTGTTTGTGTGATACGTTGAGAGACAGAAGTAAAAATTGAGAATAATCAAAAGACACTGACAAACCAAAATGTTCATGAGAAAAACAATGTGGAGGTAAACAAGGCCTGAGAAACTTAGCATGCTCATGTGTAAAAATGTACTGACATGGGATTTTAACTAATACATCTCATATGCAAATGAAAAAACTATTCCTTTTTTTTTTTTAAAACATCCTCTGACTGAAGTAAGAGAAAACAAAGAAACCACTGGACACGAAGTGTTGATGACAATAAAAGGAAAAAACATTTTCTCGTTGTTCAGGTAGTCTATAAATACCACCACACTGATGCCATATTTAACCAAAACATTTCAATGGCTAATTATAGTACACTAGAGGTTAATTAAAAACATATTCCAATCTTCACAGAAAATATTCACAGCTTACTGATGTACTGTATGCTGATTGTGCTCTATTATTATTTAGTGCAGTCATTAATTGGGCGGAATAGTAATTAACGATTAGTATACAAAAGGTTAATTGTGTGTGAATAAACCTGCCATGTTATTCTGCTGCACACAGTTCATTTAGTCAACTCCATTGTGCAAGTGTTAATGGAAGCAGACAGAGTAAATGCTTAACATAAGACAAAAGCCTGATTGTTTCCAACTCACCCTTTGCGCCCTGCTTTGGCCCCTCCCCTTCTCTCCCCTTTGCCCCCTGCGTAGCTCCGGCCTGGTTTGGCTCCACTGTTGCCTCTACGATTCTGTCTCTCCGTCGGCCTCTGACTGGAGAAACTCCTCTTGGCTGCAGGAGCACCATCACGTCTTTGAGTCACCCCTCCATCAGGTGGGCTTTTATTGGGGGTTAAAGAGCCCTGAGGGAGTGCAGGTGCCACAGCAGAGGCAGTGGTGGCTTCATTACTGGCCTCCGCTGCTCCTTTCCTCTCTTCTCGCTCTCTCCTTTCGTTGAAGTCGCTGCTTTCAGAAGCAGTCTCCCATTCCTCATTGGCTTGATCTGAAGAGTTCTGATTGGACAGGTCAGGGGACTTGGTACCGACCGCAGCGATTGTGGGGCTGCTGGTCTCAGGTAAGGGTGCTTCAATACTAGAGGGCAGGTCAGGTGCAGACATTGTTGCAGCCGCTTCTGCAGGCATGGTAACAGGGGTTCCTGGAGCTCTAGACAGGGTTGGGGAGAGGGATATTGGGGCAGACCTGGCAGCATTAGCAGGCAGTGGGGGTAACGGGGCAGGCAGACTTGAGGCTGTTTCTCCACTACCCAACACTGCCGCCTCCCGCTCCTTCAAGCGCCTGAAGCGGGGGGGTTTATCTTGCCTGGGGGGCCTTGCTGGTCGGGATCTACGAGGCCTTTCTCTGCTGCTCTGTGGCCCGTCCACAAATTTCTTGCCCTCAGACTTAGGTGGCCTTCGATCAGTGGGAGGATTGTCATATCTTGATCCTGACTCCATTTCCTCAGGCCTGAATGTCTCCATGGGTTTAGAGGGCCACTGAGAGGAGGACTCTCTGGGCATTGGCCGTCTAAGAGGAGCAGAGCGAGGGCCACCACGTTCCCTTGCTCCACCTCTTCTACTGTATAATCCACCTCTCCCTCGTCGAGAAGGTTCTCCTTTAGGAAGGAATCCTGGCTTGGGCCTACTTTCATCATCCCCTCTGAATCCAGCCTTTTCTCCCATGTTAGGAGGTCCAAAGCCTGGCTTGTGGGGCCCAGACCGGCCCTCGCCAGGCAGTTCTCGTCTTAGTGGACGGCTAGGTTTGGTGCTAGGTTCACGGTCAGAGGGTCCAGTATCACTGGCAGACTCCCTCCCACCTTCACTTTCAGAATCTGTATCTGAACCCCGTCGTCGTCTGCGTTTTGGAATAACCTCAAAGTCTGAGCTTTCACTGCGTGTTTCGCTTTCTTCCCTATTGCGAAAGGCAGCAGCACCTCCCACAGAAGGTAAATCAGAGCGTGACCGTGGCTCTCTGTAAGGGTACTCTGCTCGACTCCTGCCGCGACTCCCCCTGCCTCGACCACCGTAAGTACCTCGGTAGCTGCGTCCTCTAGAGTAATACTCCCCTCTGCCACGTCCTTTGAAACTTGAGTCAGCAGGCCATTCTCTATCTCTGTCTCTGTCCTTGTCCATGTCCCTATCCCTCTCCCTCTCACGTTCTCTCTCTCTGTCGTCCCGTCGGTAGGCACGCGGAGGAAGATTGGACTCTTTCCTGGAAGGCAGCTTGGGTTCTGGATGTTTGTCATTGCTGGGTGGTTTGTCTGCTTTCTCCTCCTGAGAAGAAGAAGTGGGAGGCCCGGATGAAGGCTGAGAGTCTCTGACTCTCTGATGGCCAGCCGGTGTTTCCTCAAGCTCTGTAGATTCTCTCTTCCCTTCACTCTGAGGTCTGGAACCCTCAGACAAAACAGCAGCTGCAGAAGGAGCTTTGGATGACTGATCTTTTTTGGATCTTTCTCCTCTTTCCCCTCTCTCGTGACGCTTCTCCCTCTCTTCTCTTTGCTCCCTCTCTTCTTTCATGTCCCTTAGGACAGGTTTCTTTATTGGCCCAGACCTGCGGACTGGTCTTTCCCCACCTGGTCCGTCTCTGCGTCCAGCACCTGATCTCCCGCCCCAGCGCAGCTCAGCTTTCTGCTTGCTGGGGACTGGCAGAGGCAGCTTCTCTTGTTTGTGTAACCCATCAGCAGGAGGTGTAGCCCTGTTGTTCGTCACTGAAGCCTGGGAGTAGAGTTCATTTTGGGGCTTATCTTCAGCTCTTTCACCTGTGTCCTGTGGGTCTAGTGATTTTGTTCCCAGGGGTAACCCATCAAACCTGGGCTCATCAAGCTTGAGGGAGTGACTGGAGCCCTGGGAGACGCTCCTTTGGAGCATAGCTTGACCAAGAGCCTCTACTTCTTCCCCACTCGGTAGGCCTGGTTCCTCAGAATCAAAAGCTGAGGCTACAGAGACCCTGTCTAGAGGCCCAGATGAGTCCTCTGGGCCCTGGGTAAATGTTGACAGGGACTCTGTAGGGTCCCGGAAGAAGTTACTCTTACGAGAGTCCAATGCACTGTGGTCCTGGGGGTATATAGCTGGGAGACCTCTATCCAGATCCAGACTAGAGTCGATTCTGTAAAAGAAAAAAATAGATGCATCACATGTTTAAAATAAAGGCTTTTATGTATGCTGATATTTTCTTCTAAATATCCTTTACCTCTGCTCCTTGGTATCATTGCGTCCTTTTGGAGGAGTTACAGAAGGTAAGGGCTCTGATTGTGGGTATGGATCTGATCCCCATACCATACGTGAGTCTGAGGGAAGGCCATGGTCACGAATTGGCCGGGTCAAGTGGTCAAAGGAGTCTGAGCTGGAGCTGGAGTTGTCACCAGGCTCTCTGCGCACAATCTGCTTTGGAGGCATCCGCCCTGAAAAGCATATGAGAGTGACTTTGAACAGGCAGTATGACACATTTAACGGCTCACTGATCATAAACCTACGCACTCATTCAGTAAAGTCTCCATGTATAATCAACATATCTCCCTACCAGGGTGAATATTAGTTGGTATGTCCATTGGAGGACGCCCTGACATCATGCGAGGGTCCATGTAGGACTGCATCATTAGCCAGCGGGGGTCAAAACCCATGGAGGCCAGGTGCTGGTGGTGGGGGCCCATAGGTTGATACATGGAGCGGTGTTGCTGTTGTTGCTGTGAAGTTGGAACAGCGCCACCACCTGATGGGGACACTGAGCCCCCACTCTGCTGTTGCTGTTGTTGCCATTGTTGCTGCTTCATCTGCTCCTAAAAGACCAAAGAGGAACAGTAAGCACATTAAAGTTAATTGTTTTTTTAGGATATATACAGTACAACATAGTTCATTATATTAAAAACATATATAATTAAATCTCTAATAAAATGTATCCTATTGTTATGTACCATGCAGTGTGGCTCTTCTAGAGATTCAGGGTCTCATTTTGACATCATACCAGCAACAGTACACCTTTAACTAGTGTTTCAATGCCTTTATCTGTACATTATTCACAAACACATTAAAACATCATTTGAAGCGCAGATTGTTTTTCTGGTGAACACTCTTTTCCTCTCTGTGTGCATCGCTCTCTTTCTTGGCAGAAGGGTTAACTATGTTGTTAAATGTAAAAAGGGGCACATTCCTTATTTGGACAACACGTGTGTGAGCAGCAGTACATCTGTGATGCAGCTGACACATGCTGCACACCTAGTGTGACCCATGCACTAAATTGTCTTATGCAGGTAGCCTGAACCAACGCATTTATAAAATGTATCAAAATAAACATTTGAATAGTACTTAAAGCATTCAAATAGTACTGATTTTTGAATATCTAAACACTATTTGTTCCAACCCAAGCCTAAACATATGTGCTTTAACAACTGAAGACCCTCAAAATACTGCTCTCAGTACACCAATACCATTAGCCCCCCACATGCACTTCACACATGATTTGATCATCAGATTCACAATGAAAAATGTGTAATTAACCATTCATTTTCTTTTCTTACATTTCTTATGTCGACTTTGACAATAAATGGAAGATCAAACTAATATTCAACATCCAAGTCCCCTTAAAAGTTATGAAAATAGCCCACTACTTACTGCCCCCCATTGATTTAACCAGCAACACTCAGCTCTTTGTAACCAAAGAAGCTGAATGTGGACACTCTTACCTGCTGTCTGAGGAAACGAGGTGGCAAAGATTTTTGAAACTGTTTGGAATAGCCTGAGGTGAGAGATGGACGCATAGCAGCAGCTGCTTCTCCTTCCAGCTGTGGGGGTGCCACAGGGACATCCTCACCACTTGGTGTGTCCATGTGAGGCAGAGACAGGTGGGGCTCATCCACTGCAGGAAAACAAAATCAATAGTATTGCCATTTATAACTGAAACCATATATAATTTACAAACAAGTCCCAGCTGAGGTTGAGCTGGCTCACCTCTGTTGTCCTCTATGTTGAAATAGTCTTGGATAGGCACTGTTGTCCTGTCAGGTTGGTTTTCCTCCATTAGGGGGGCGACCTCAGCCAAAGAGTTCTCTCCATCGCTCTGAGGTTCTGGAGCGACGATTACAGGTCTCTGGACGGGAGGGCTGGGCTGAGGAGGCAAGTGAACCTCCTCCTCTGCACTTGGTTCAACTCTCTCCCATTCTTGCTCCATCCTCTCTTTGTCTTCATCCACCTGCTCTGGGAGAGGAGCTTGCATGATTGGTGCTTGCGATTGTGAAACTGGGACCAAAGGTACAGGACTGGATACAGGAGCGGGAGCTGATAAGGGGGCAATCTCATGGGCAGCTCCTGCCTCATCGGCGGTGGACTGAGCAGGGGAGGATTTGCCCTCAGTTGCCTGGCGGTGTTTTTCATTGAGACGTTTAAGTTTTTCTGCACAGGCCGCAAGCCTCTGTTCTTCCATCCGCCGCTCCTCTTCCTCTCTCCTCCGCCTCGCTCGTTCAACAGCTTCAGAAACCTCTGAAGGCTTCTTACGCTTCTGTCTCCAGGCGTCAGAATCCTCATCGGCACCAGGTGCTGATGCAGGTTGTGGCTTGTTCCCACGGGGAGCTGCTCCACTAACAGAACGACTCCCACCCTGGAGATTAAAGATATCATTAACAACACAGGCCCAAATTGCTGCTAAATTGATCAGTGTGCACTTGTCCAGCTTTACCTGGTAGTCTTGTGAAGCAGTTGATTTACTGTACTGCCCCATACTGCCAGGTGATGGTGCTCTGGGATCTACGTTGTCTGCCCTTGAGGTCTTATTGCCCCCACGGTCTTCAGACCCCTCCTTCCATCCCTCCTGACCTTCTGTTGGCCGAGGTCTTATACGTTCAACTTTCCCCATCCAATCCCTGAATAACAATGTCAACATGGATTAGAAAAAAAAAAACAGGTTCTTCCAACTGGTTTCCAAAAGTTCATGATAAAAGGGTAGTTTTATGGAAACTTTCTGCAGGTAGGATATCAAAAAATATAAGAAATGTTTTGGTAGAAGAGTAATGCAGGTTTATACATACATAATAAGGACTCAATTGGCTAAACAATGCATGTTAAAATGTTAGGCTCAAGATACTCACCAGTTTTCTCCTTTATCTTTATTAGCTTGGTTTTCCTCATCATCACTGAAGTTTAGTTTCTCTGTGTAGTCCACCTCCATCTGAGCTCCTGGAATGAGAAAGAGACAGGATTGAGGTTCGATGTTCACACCAGGAGAAGAGGTTATCCATCGTACAATAGTTCTGATAATTTTAACACTGTTTTCATAAATAATGTACAGTAACTGACCTGCCCAGCCCTCATCAGTGTCAGTGTCCAAGTTGTCCAGCTCCTTCAGTTCTGTAGCACTGATGATTGAGGGCCTGTCTGGGTCCAGGAGCCAGGACTGAGGGGGAGGCTGCTGGGGTCGTGCTGAACGAGAACCTCTGACACCCCAACAGAGAAGAAAGGAGAGAGAAGGTAATTAATGGACGAAATGAAAGTACTAGAATGTAAAGGTAGTGTCATCAGTCTGACATGTAACAAACTGTGAATAAAATTAAACTGACTAACTACTTTGTTAATTATACAGGAAGAATACAATTAGCAGTTTGTTAAATGACAAAATGAAAGACAAATCAAAAATGTATTGATGCATTAAGATGTGGACTCACTTTGCTCCATCTTGTGGTACAGGGTATCTGAAGTTTCCCTGCCCGGGGCTTACAGACATTTGAGGATAAGCGTGGAACATCTAAAAACACATCACACAGGATAAGGACAAGATAAAAACTACAACTAGATTCTGTGAGGCCAGAAATATAGTTCTTTAAACCATACGTTCACATAGAAAACCAGCTTGTAACTAAAGGATCCCTCTGGAGGGCAGAGACTTCAGACCGTACACAACCACTGGATGCATGTTGTAACAAAAATGGTGACACTTTTTATATTATGTGTAAAATTGGTCTCAGTTGACAAAATTCTGTGGCCCGCTCAGACTACTGATTACTGGTGCGCATATTATGCCATTAGCCCTGTCCTTACTTGTTTTTCTGCAGTGCACAGACGTAACAGTCTCCGATTTATTTTATTAATTTTTGCAGGTTTCTACATTGACTTCTAAAAATGGTTCTGATCATAACCAGGAATTTTGACAAAAATGTTTGTCACTGCCCAGTGGAAAACCCGAATAGATAGACTTCGTCTATTAGCTTGTCTTTTTTTAAAATTCCCCTACAATTCATATGCTTAATGCATCTTGCGTATGCATAGTGTTATTTTCTGAGGACGGAAACATCATAAACTCTAAACTAATGCAGGTTATGTAAGGCAGCCATCATCGGCACTTAGACCTGCCTTTAAATACAAGTACATTGCTGGCTTAACTGTAAAATTCGAGTTCTGTCTAGAATATTAAACTGTGACTTACATAGGGTGGCATCATGCTCCTGAAAGCAGGATCAAAGTGAGTTGGCACCCCAGCAGGAGGCTGCTGCCCCCCATTAAGTTTAGGCTGTGGAGGGCCAGTGGAGGGAGGCCTCTCCCTACCATCCCTTTTCTCCCTCTGACTGTCAGCGGTTATGTTTCTGCCAGGTTCATCAGCTTCTGCGGGTGGTGTTGTGGTACCAAGGCTTGTACTTCCCTCCTCTGGAACCCTGTTCTCCATCTCAGGGGGGCTGGGAGCAGTGTTCAAATTCCTGCCGCCACCCTCCCTCCAACTGCCAACATCTACCAGGACAAAGAGAGAAGAAGTATTTTTGATTTTGAACTTGGGGTTCCTGAACACTAGGGACACAGAAACTTAACAGTGAACACTGAATGATATTTATGTGCATGAGTGTGGCTGTACTTTGAGGTCTGAGGCTGGGGCCAGGTCCATAAGGCTCCTCCTCTTGACTGTCATCTTTCTCTGCCTCACCAGCCGCTTGCAAGCTGGGAAACTCCTGGTGAAAATGGCTGCTCACACGAGGAGCTCCTGCACAACACAAACGCATGATTATTAGGGGTGTAAGGGAACACACAAAAAAAAAAAAAAAATCACGGTTAGGTACACATCTCGGTTTTGAGGTCACAGTTCGGTGCCTTTTCTGTACGTTTTAGGTACAGAGGAAACGAAAACATTTAACTGATTTTCTATGTATTTTTATTCAACCCTGGTTAACTATGGCTGTGTCTTTCTTTCAAAAAGTAAAATTACAAAAAAACATTCTCATAAATAAATATCCATTAAGGTGCAGTATGTAAAAAATGATCTGTACTTAAACTGCACCGTTATTGTATTGTATGATTATTGTCATTAAATATATGTATTTTCATTTTTTTAATTCAAAATAATGAACTACCACCACCACATAGTTTGCAGAGAGGGTTTGATGCCCTGCTGGTACTAACAATGTCTCCACTGTGGACATTCTCACTCTAGGAACAGAGGTTTATAAAGGGCTGGTGTGACTTGCTGGCTGAAATGCGAACAAGAGGGTACTTGGTAAGGGGCTCGATTACTTTCAGCGTGTGTTTGAACCCTGCACTCTCAAAAACAGAGAACGGTGGCATTTCCGCTGCTATAAAAACACCTGTGACGCTAGTTATTGCATGACAGTCTGAATATTCTTTCTTGTCCCACTAATGTTAGTATTATTCCCAATGTTAGTGGACTTCACTCTAGTGATGCCGTTTCTAACGAGTTGGCATGATCGATGTGCTACCAGCAACATATCCCATAACAGTTGCGCATTTTCAGATTTTATATGATTCACTCGTCTAGAATTGTAAAAACTATGATGTCTAACTATGGTGTGCTGCCTCTTGCAAGTCACGTAATACACACCCCTGTCGCGCTCTCTCTCTCTCTCTCTTCCTATTAACCATTACAAATGTAGCTGAGCATGTGAATTCACCTGTACTGAAAGGTAATAGTATAATAAGGACATGAAGAATGTGGCTTGAACCAGGACATGTTGAAACTAGTCAACATATCGCTCCCATAACAGAACTACTTCCACTACTGACCCTTCAAAATAAAACTCCCACACAGATACACAGCTTATGACAGAAAACACAAATTTACCAACCTTCAACAATAAGGCAACTAAATAAAATAGCTTACATAAATTGCTTTTAAATAGATAAACAACTATATATCACTTGTTGTGAGTGTTTTTTCTTCTATATTATCGATAATCGCAAAAACCGTGATATTTCCTAGGAAAATCGTGGCACCAAAATTTCATATTGTGACATCCCTAGGTGTGTGTCTTTTTCCTTCTGCAGTATCAATAATATATCTTAGAATATCGTGAAACCGTGATATTTCCTCTGACAATAACCGTGATACCAAAAAACTAATATCGTGACTTCCCTGGTCTTGCAGAGCAGCACTGACAGATCTAATCCCCAGTTGATGTACAGTACCACTTCCAGCCTATCGGAACATTTATCAGCTATCAAATGGTCTGCATTCCATTAAGACAGCTGGGTGGTGTAAACAAGTTATGGATATTCATTCTGTTTGTTAGGTAGAAGTAGAAATTTTACCTTACAGTGTCACCTTCATTAACATCAAGTGGAACCACAGCACCATAACAAAGGTAATCTGTATTTTATTAATAGGTGCAAAAGGGGAGCGTGTGGAGAGGATATTTACCATCAGGCTGTGTCTGCTTGCTGCTGGCCCAGGATCGGCTGCTCCCGATAGACAGCTCCGGTGGCTGGATCACTGCTGGTTTGCTTTGCGGTGGGGGCGTATCCTGTTGCCTGTGGCACATAAGACACTCAGAACTTAATAATAATATAATACTTGATCTAATTTAGACATCCTATTATTCTATTGAGATTAGCTTTAGCAAATGGGATGTCACCTTGTGTATTTAAGCACATAAACACACATGCACAAGTTACTTAACTTACCTCTCTCCCTCTGCCTCGGTACGGGATGCCCAGCCACTACCGTCTTTGGGGACAATATTGACGTTGGGGTCGTTTCCCTTGTTCTCTGCCTTCAGGCTGGGCAGGTTGGCTGGAGGGGGCATGCGCCGACTGGCAGCAACTTTGCCCAGACTCTGGAGCCCATGTCTGGCAGCCACTGGGATGAAGAAACAGCAAAATTAAGGTTTTAACAATATCAGGCCAGAAACTTGATTATCCTTTTGAGTTGATTTGACATTGCCTTGATCAACTGAATTTACAGTTCTCTCATTAACTACTGTTAAAGGTACTTGATTACCTGCAGTCTTCTGGGTTTCCAGAGATTTGCCCTTGTAGGTATTGAAGAGGCTAAGGGTTGCATACTTTGTTTTGCCATCCTTTGCCTTGGTGCTCTGCCCTGACTTCTCTGACATTTCGCTGGAAACTCATCGAGTCTGGTCCTTTGGCCTTGCCTCCAGAACCAGCCTCCTACAGAGCAGAGAGACGAAAATGAAAACTATGAGGAAACAGTTTTTTGAATGTCAAAAAAAATCCCCATTTGTTAAAACACTGGAATGTGAGCAAACTCATCTTATTCTGTCTAAGCCCATGTACAACACCATTTGCATTTTTATATCATCAACCCACTTTGTTTATTTCACCTTGGTGGCTCTCAATGTGTGTGCATTAGCATGCAGCCCCAGCTTGTGACAAGTGGCTGCGTAACATCTTAGATGTAACGTTTAAGCAGTGTTTTACATTAATAAAATGTTAATTTGTTTAATTAAATACTTTTTGTGGTGTCAACTCCCATTTTTACACCACGACTAGTTGTGAACTTACTTAAATAGTGCAAACTGTATATGATGGTGATGTTGAAAGAGGACAATGACTAGATTTGGATCAGGATCTTGAGTAAGCCTGTCAGTTTAATTTGTATAATTATTATGTAAGTATTTTGGATATACAATTAAGTTGGAAGACCAAATGACTAGGTGAGTGGGGGGCAGAAGGGAAATGATGCCTAATTTAGGAAACTCTGAGGGTTGGCAAAAAAGTGAGTAAGAGTGAGCAGTACCAAGGACAGAGCATGTTTGGGCAGCAGTGTCTATCCTGAGTCACACAGAGGTCATTTATTATTAATGTAGCAGTGGGGGAACAGTGTCCGTGTGTGTGTCCGTGTGTGTGGGAAAGCTGACAGCTCTGATGAGCTCAGTCTTGAGATGTAACTTGGCCTTGAAACTCTTTTGCAAAGTAACATCCAGTTAAAGGGAAAGCCACGTCTTTCAAAGAGCCTGGATGTCATTTTGTAAAACAAATACAATTTTACTTCAAACTGTGACATTAGGATCCAGACTGGTACTTATTTTTCACTTTAAATAGTATGGTGATAATAACTGTGATGCTTGTCTATACAGCTCCATATTACTTGGACCTGACAAAATTGAATCATTGACACTGTACATTATTGCTTTGTGGGATTAAGTGTCTTCTGGAATGAAGATGTTGCCTTAACTGTAAATATGATAGTATATACTGTACGGACACTGGAAAGTGGCTGGCCCAGCTAAAACGTGTTTCTGTGTATATGTTGCAAGTGTCCACTATGTCCATAGTAGTGCATGCTGACATTTTGATGTTATTACAATTAAGAAATCTGAAAATAAAATTTTCAGATGAAATTGTTTTTTACAGAAATGTCAATGTGGGACACTGAAGCTAGGCACAGACACACTACAGACAATTTTCAAATTCATAGGTGACATCACAAAATTTGTGTTTTCACATCTCTTGTTTCAGCCTTGCAGTCCAGCAAACAACTTGCTGACAACTTGCAGTTACTTGTTCCGTCTGACCCAAGATTTTGAACACATGCATGTTGATTTGTTTACACCATGTACACTAGAACAATAAAAACACAAAAAAATTGATCTGGATAAAGTCATTGATACAAATCCAGGTTTAATGAGGCTTCTATGTTTGGCAGAGCAGACTACCAGAGGTCTGTTGGAATAATTAACACAAAACTGTCAAGTGAAACAGTTGCATTCATCGTCATCGAAAATCAATGTTAAAAGAAAATAGTCTGGTGCAGCAGTTTTGCTTGACAGGAAGGAAGACTATTTGAATCCAGCAAGAATAAAGCACTCCTGTAAATTGCATCAGTGGAGTGAGTCTACCAGAGTAGAACAGAGATTTACTTTGTTTTGGTGGCCAGTCCAGGCACATGTGCATGTTAGGTCAGGCCAATCCCTCCTCATTCGGACTGGCAGTGATGTAAACGAGACACACTGACATGTCTCTTTTCCTCACCATGTGTCTTTTAGAGCAAACACTGTATGCACACCTGCCCACCGCAGTAGTGTTAAACCCAAAACACTACAATTACACCTTACTTTCATACACACAGAACGTCTATCTATATAAGTAGGCTAATCTTTGCCAACTAGCTGCTCGTCATCATGGAAGTGTGCTGTGCTTGAGGAAGCAGTGAACATAGGCCTGAAATAAGTTATAAAAATACATTTACTGACCAAAGCGTCTCAAGCGAAGGCTCAGACACCAATGAGAGCACATCCTGCAGATGAGATACGACTGATCCACCTCACTGGTCTGCACACCAGCTAGCTGGAGCAATTTTTTGGCTCTCCTGTACACATGTTAACTTTATTAAGTTGTTCATTTATAGGCTGTTTTCACTGGGTTTCACTAGATTGTAAAGGCAATATGTTGCTGAGAATGCTGAGGGACGAGGGATCTGTGGTAGGTGAGGCTTTTGTTTTGATTCTGTGATGAGTGAGTGCAAAATAGTGTGCATAACTCTGGCCATCAGTGGGATAAGGGATGGATTAGGGTGTGTTTGAAGAATGGGAAAACAGGAAGAGAACACTGATACAAGGAAAACTAGTCCAGATGAAAACAGTACTACTTCCTGTGTGCACAGATGACAAAAGTATGTTACCTGTCCAATAATGCCAGACCACATTCGGAGGTTGTCTAGGCCATGTGTCCACATTATTTTAGCAGGGTGAATGCGAATGTGGTCCTACTCAACTGATGCCATCTACGTGAGTGGAAATATGTGCACATACACGTGCCTGAGGAGTCATTTAAACTCTGGCAACAGGCTATCAAGCCATCATCTAGGACACATTGATGTCCCAGACAACATTCAGAGGTTGGGATGCGTGTGACCACATTCTTTTAGCTGTGTGAGCACAGATGCATCCTGGGCCACATTGATGGACCTCCTACTCAGCTGACAAGTCTCTGACTCGCTGCAGTTTCATTAGGAACTGAAAATATTTTACACTTACACTCAGTGTTTCCCACACTTTGATTTGTGGGAACATTAACAATACCAACATTGATTTTCACTTACTTTTGAAAATCAATCCTCAAGATAAAATGGTGTAGAGCGTTGATTATATCAGCTTTGCTTGTTTCCGCTCTCACACCTGTACACTCAGACTGGCTAAAATCAACAACATCTGGTCTGGACACAGAAATAATGTACAGGTGTATTTGCATATGGAGCAGTGAAAAGAGATCCAATCAGTGGTAACTCAGGACGCATGCAAAGATGCACACCTGTGATAAGATTGTTTAAAACAGATTAACATAAAGTTCTTAACATGGCCATACATACACTGAAGGCAAACTGAAGGGGCCCTGGACTACACTTTTGAAGTGTTGTCAGGTGAATGTGACAGGGGGGGGCAAGAAAAAGATAGAAGATTTGTCAAGCACACAAAGCATTACAGCTCCACAGTCCCAATCTCCAGCACAACCCTTCACCCCTGCAACTACTTCTGCAAAAAAAAAGTTTTTTAAGAATATTCCTCACAAAATTTAGGCTGACAAAATCTCCCATGCATCAAATCTAGTGGCCGGTAAAATGACTTTTTTCCTGCCATGTTGGCAAGGCTTTACAGCAAGAAATCCACCATCCTGCATAACAATATATTAGAGATTATCTCATCAATTTAGTGAAATATAAGCCTCAGAGCACTAACTTAAAGATGTGATAGGAGGTGAAAAACAATCAAGCCACCTATATTCACTAATGCTGGACTACATGACCAGGCTTTTAAAAAGAAAATACATTATATCCAGTACTTGAACTGACAGCACACTGACATCTACCTACTAATCTTCACTTGGATCAAGATCAATGCAGGGGGATCCAGAAATTAGCTCTCCACCGCTGCTTACCATTTTTGGCTCAATGTTATTCATTGGCATGCAAAGCTTAGAAATATCGTGGGGAAAAAACTGTTGAGGATTGGAAGACACTTAAGATTATTGTGGTGCTCCAGCACCAGGCCATCAATACCACTGAGATGGTCTCCCTTGGGACTTGCTGATGATTTCACTAAGCACATGAGAAACTGGAGAGTGGCCATGTTTTCATTACCTTAATGTAACATTTCTCCACATAATAATTAATTTGTGAGGGCCAACTCCAGTTTGAGATATACGTTTGGGACCAATTAAGGAAACTTAATGAAGCTGTATATAAAATGCTCATTTTAAACACAAATCCATCCATGTTTAAGTCTGTATATTGTGAGGAAAATGAAAGGATCTTTTTTCTTTAAATCAAAGCCTGAGCTTTCCAGTAGATACTTCCACCTTCAGATGTAGATCTCTGATACAGCCATGTTGCTGAATGGCCGATCAATAAACTACTACTTCAATCAATACATGTCTGAATGGCCTCCCTAAAACGAGCCAGATGTGGACCCATTTGTAATGGATGCATATGTAAGAATACCACCATGTTGCCTGGTGATAATTTCCTGCAAATAGTTTATGAATCACGCAAGTTTTTCACAGCCCAACTATGACAAAGCCCTGAAAACAGCCACACAATAAAAAACGTGATACTTTAAGATCACATGTGTTGGATAAGCAAGAAGACAGTATGACTTGGAAGGAAATTACTGAGCTCTGTCCACATGACTCGTCGATAGAGACGTGATCATAACGTGATTCGTCGCAGGAACGTTTCGTCCCACTAAAGACAAATCTTTAAGTGCTGTGGTATCGTGTCTTTTCAGCAAATCACTATCATTGATAAATGTGCAGGCCACCCCTGTCCATGGATCAAACTGCTGGTGGGCAGGGTGGCTCATACCGGCTGAGAGCAGAGGCCCTGTGTGCCCCGAACTCAGCCACACCGGGCTCAAAAAACACGTTCGCTGCCTTGGAAGTTAAAACTTAGAAACTTCCCAATCCGAGCAGCAACCCTGATTATATGATGTATAATGTGAAACATGGTGCTCTTCACGAGCAGGCCGCCCGCTCGCGTCGTTCACAGAGTTTCGTTTCCCTCTGGTCGCCATCAAACCCACTTCCAGCCCCTCAGTGGCCACAGCATGCTAACCAGCTAGCGTGGAGCGAACACCAACACATCACCTGCCTTTGAAATCTCCAAATGTTCACCTCTCGTGACACTCACACCCACCTGCCACCGCCGGTGCCTCCTTTGTGTTTCTCGGTTCCTGTGCGGCCCCACTTGAACCCCGGTGTCGGCCTGGTTTGCGGTGGAGGAAAAGTGTGTCTCGCCGGCGGATTACAAAAGCTGGCTAGCCCGCTAACCCAGTTCGGGCTAAACGATGGTTAGCTACTTAGCTCGTCGGCTTCCAGCAAACCGCTCTCCACATGCACGGCTCCCGTCTCGTGGCTCCTGCGCCGCTTCGAGCCGCCGCTTTATCCTCGTGTGTTCGGCCGTCACTGCGGGAAACCGGTTTAGGTCGTCCCGTGTTTCCGTGTCTGTCCCCACCCGTGAACTCGCGCCAGACCGTATTTCTAGTTGAGTGAGGCCCCGCTCGCGCCGCGGCCTGTCGCACAATCAAAGATGGCAGCCCGGAGTTGCCAGATTTATGCAGTTTTATCCCCCTCTCACAGCCTCTGAGCCGCCGTGCAGGTGCCCCCTCACACGAGTTACCATCACCATGCACAAAAAACCTTCTGGTTTCATGTTGACATTAAAGACATTACAATGATAGAACTGTGCTAAAATAGTGTTAGAAATGAGTGTATACTTGACCTCATAAAGATGAGCGCATTATACTTTTAATAACATTTTTGATCACAATTTATTTTCAGTGCACACATTTTGTTAGAGATCTGACAGAAAGTGTGATATCAAACACATGTCAACAGATATTTCTCTAGATTTAAAACAGTGACTGCTAACACCAACAAGAAGAAAAAGCTGGACACAAACACTCAGTTGTTGATGTTGTGGGAAAAGTCGAGGGGTCAAAAGTTTTGATCATTCCAAGGTTTTCCTCAATTAACCTGATGCTTTTTATAGCCAGTCATTGATGACACAGCAGTGTAATTGCTTAGATATTTAGCTTCGATTTAAAAAAAGAACTAGGAATAATAGACAACTACAGGCAGATTAACAGTAAGTAAAACATAAATGTACGTGTTTATAAAGTCACAATCACCCTGTAATATTTGTATTATATCATATTGTGAAAATATTTTGGTGTTAGCCAGGGTAATGAATCTACTCTATAAGTACTGGGGGTCTGTCTTTGACTCAGGAGCATGTTGTTGCCATGTTAATATCAGATGTATGCTGGTTAGAATCCCACTGACTCATTTTGTGGTTGAGGTGTATAGCAGAACATATTGAGTGTATTTTGATGTCTAGAAATGTAATCAATACATCCACACTAGAAACACACATGGTTGGATTAACAAAACACATTTTCAAATAAATTACAAATATTTTGTATTTATTGTCAAATATAACCTTCGACATTCCTGTAATGTCATTCACACCATAGAAATATCACAACCTGGCAACCCGAATGCAAACGAGTCACGCGTGGACAAATCTTGTTCCGGGGTGTACCGGCGGTTCACGAGGGGCGGTTAGTTTGAAGTCTATTTAAAGTCCAGCTCTATCTATCTATCTATCTATCTATCTATCTATCTATCTATCTATCTATCTATCTATCTATCTATCTATCTATCTATCT